TTCTGCAGATGTGTTCTTCGAAGGGCTAATTTTGCAAACATTGGGACTCACTGAGGCCCAGAGGAATGCACACCCTATGTTGAATGGTCAAACGGGTCTTCGTGAAGGCTTGGATGAGGGGGACGCTAAGGGAACCGTCAATTAAGCAGTACATGACTGACCTTCACAGATCGTTGGATTGCTGCTTTTGGAGAACACTGTCAGTTTTCCATGTGGAAAGCGGATATGGACGAAAGGTCTGAGGACAGTGACAAATAATTAACATTTTTAACGAATCATATTAATGTGTGTCGTGTCACAGCCATAATTGACCACTTCGCTATTGAATTGTTAAAACTGCATCTTCTTGTTCCAGTGAGCATACTGCAAGGTTAGACTGAAAGCACGTCTTAAAACGCAAGTTAATGCCAAGTGGCCAGTGCGTGTTCAGTTTAGTACATAAGAAATCTTTTCCCACTTCATGTCTTCATGCCCTTTCTACGTTAGGTATTCAGATAATGCCTTTGCAAAAGCTGCTTCTGTGTGTGTACAAACGGAGTTTTTCTTACCTTGTTTCCTAGAATGCATGCATTCGACTATGAAAGGAACAATTGAAGCCACGTCGAAGATAAAACAAACTTGGTCATTTGCCTTTAAGACGACGTTGAAAGTTCTAGTGAAGTTGCCATATTTGCTTTCGCGTTTTCCTTTGAGGTCTGTGTTCCTGCATTGTGCTTGTCAGGTGATTTCACACTGGTGACACGTCACCGACGCTGCCTATTTAATTATCCCGTCGATTTCGACCCCTCACCCCACTTTCTTTGTTGTCACCACTCCTTAAGAGGGTCTTTTCGCTCTGCGTCGCTGAACCGACACCATCATCGCCAGGAGTCCATTAGCGGGCTTATCGTCCGGTGCCTTTACTACTGCCGCTGCCCCTTCGGGAGACTTGATGGCCGTGCGTGCTTATGGGCATTCAAGGGCAGTGCTTGATCAACTCATCAGAAATCTGGTATGGTCACATAAAAGTAAGACTTGAGTCGAGGCAAATTGTGCAGTGTCACGTATTCACATAGAGGGCCTTTTGAGGACACAACGTGGCTTTCCTCAAATGCGCACATGCTTTCTTGGATTTTTGGACAGAGCTAGTGGGCACATTGGTTAGGAATAAATCAACAAACCCATTGTTCTCAAAATGGGAACATTCGGTTATGCAAGCGTGACTGCTTTCGTGATGTTCAGTCACACACACATAGTTTGCCTCCACTATTTTGCCACAATTTTACTAGCCCTTCTTGTAATTACAATCTTTGCGTGCATTCATTACATAACGTAACCTGTATTTCGTGTCAGTGGTTTCGTGGAGATTCCAGCAGAGAAAGTGTGCCTGTAATTGCTTGCTTTCCCAACCATTTGCTTCCTTGTCGAGTGCTTCAAAGGCTTTAACAGGGGTATGTGCGTGTGAGTCAGCTGGCACTGGAGCTCGGGTCCACTTGGTTCTCCCCAGGATTGTGCGAGGGCCATGCTAAAACCAACCAAGTTACAGCTGACTTTCAGTCGGAACCCTCATCATAGATGGACGAGCAATCGTTTTTCACATACCCCCCCTTTAACTGTTTATGTGAACTTGAATGAGAAGGTGCTATTTTTGACGGTACATCTGACTTGCAGGCAGTTTAATTGCATCGGGGCTCTGAGGTCCCCTGTACATACCCTCAAACAGTGTTCGATTTTCATGCTCGATTTCGCTGCTAAAAAAAGCCTCGATGCATCATTTATTCCATACAGCACCTTCGCATTCTCCCGACGCTCTGCGGTTTCATGGAATTTACCGAAAGAAGTGCCACGAATTGGCGCATGACGTTGGTAACTGGTAGCAGCCCAGTTTTAACACGTCTGTGGGGTTACAAGTAGACCAAAGGTCCCTACAAACAGAATCATTTCTTTGGAGTATTAAACAACTCAAACCACTCACGTTTAACCCTCATACAAGGCCTGATTAGAAATAGAAACTTAAGCAATGTTAAACGATTCGGTGAAAGGAGGTCCCGTCATTTGCTGTCACATAAAGTCTTATTAGCAAGCCACTCGAGGCTCCAAACATAGTTTAATGCTTGGACGTCTCATGCGGTGTGTTCAGTCATTTTTAACGTCTTTGTCGTCCATTAAAAAGGGGCATTTTTGGAGGTAGAAGAACAGATGGGGAGGGGGAAGGGCAGGTAAAGTCAACGGATCAAAAGGCATGCCGCGAATGACTGGAGCTTTTGATACCAAATTGGAGGCATAAGTTCTCGTGCAGAGCACTGAGGGATGAGGCGGGTAGTGGGCGGCCGGTCGTTCTCCCTCGTCCCCTCACCGTGCCCCTCTGCTCCCCCTCTCCCTCTTTCGCTGTGTGTGTGTGTGTGTTCGTCTTTGTCCAGGAAGTAATAACAGGCAAGCACGTCATTTGAAGGGTATTGTTGTACTTGGCTTTCTCAGAATTAGTCTCAACTATCCAGTGCTGTATCACTTTTGCAACAACAAAATTACACTGACGATTAAAGTATATCCCCAGCCTGTCAGGCCAAGGCGCCTAAGTGGAAACACGGCGGCAAGACAGATGCCAAATCCACACTTCACAAAAATGTTTCATAATAAATCTCCAGTTGCAATTTTTTTCAAATACCAAATCTAAATGATAATATATTGTTTCTAATCAAGGATTAGAGTCATAACGCTTATCACATCTCTAGAAAATAAGTGAATTTAAAGTGATGAAAGACAAAGACAATGTAGGTTTAAGAAATCAAATTGCTTCAAATGAGTTTTTTGATTCACTGAAGGGAGCCATAAATGGAAGATGTAAGAACTCCTTTAAAATGTTGTTGTAAAAATTTTAAATAAGCATTTAGGAAAAATGATATTTTTAAATCACGTAAGATTTTCGAGTGAGTGATTTGGTCTGTTTTGATATATGGAGGAGTTGTGACCGTCCAAGACAGAGGCAGTTCAACGCCAGCTTTGGGATGTGGCTAAATAGTTTGTGGTACCACTTTCCACTTCATATTATTTTCACATTCACAAAAGTGGACTTGCGTAGACGCGTCTCCAGTGAACTACAACTAATGCAACTTAACAAGCGTAGATAACGTCCCCAGATTGTTGCCACGATCAGTGAACAATTAAAACTGCTTGAAGAATTAAATAGTTAAGCTGCTTGCCTGTTGTAGTCATTGGCTAGAGATGTAAGTTTGCGCGGGAGCTGCACGCACTTGTACGGCATTATGAAGCGTGCAAACACCTTCGTTGCAAGAACGCTTAGCTGCAGATCTGGGCTCTATCACAAGAACTGACTCATTCACTTCGCCCCACTCTGCTCTTGGGCGTCGTTGGCTTTGGGAAAAAGTGAGTCATTTCCATTATATTACAAATTCATTCAAAGGTCTACTGTCCCGTTGCCATAACAACATATGTTGTTCTTTTACCGTTTCAACATTTCGCGCTTACAGTCTCTTGTCGTTTCTGTTGTTTTAAAAGCAAGTATTCCTATTGTTTGCGTACGTGTGAATACGTGGGAAATCACATATCGTTATGCTAGTTTTTCATTTAATAAGGAGCTACTGGCATCATTCACTTAGGAGTGAGCGACTAATTCAACGGTGATTTGAGCCGTGTTTAATTTGCTTTTGGTCGTTGGACAGGCCCTCAGATTTAAATTCACCTATTTAAGTAAGCCTCACCTCCAAAAAACAGCCTAACCAGGTATTTTAATGTTCAATTTCCGTTTGAGTTCTGAGGCTTCAAGGCGGATCCAGTGACCACCGGCCACATGGATTTTCACATCGGTGTGACGTCAACTTCTCTGCCAAATGCACGTTTAGTTGTCGTTACCTGATCGGTAGCTATGCAAGTGCACAATCTGTTGAGATTCCCATTACATAAATGTAAGACAAAGCATGATGCCATCCGATGGAAATGATTACAGTATATGAACACTACACGTTTCTTTGACAGTTGTACGATTCTTTATCGCTTCCACTGAAGTCTCCTCAGTGAAGTAAATTCGATTTGCTGATTTGCCACGATATCACAGTTGCATATGCATCCATTAGTACAACAGGTTAAATGTCTTTTAATGTAGTATTTTTTAAAAGCGAGCTGCATTTTTAGAAAGAGGCCCACGTGAGTATTTGCTACTGTTGGAGGGGGATTATTTTACATGGCCGATGAATACTAAGTTCATGTACAAAAGTATTCGAAGAAATTGATCACAGTTTAACTATAATTTTGTTCAGAAAATGTAATTAATAACAGGACTAAGGACTAGCTTTATGTCCCTGCTTTAAGGAACTGCACTCGCACTTTGCATAACTTCATATCAGGGCAGCAAATAAATGCCCTGGACTCACTCGGTAGACGCACTCTGCAGATTCTGACCGATTAAATATACTCCTCTAATGACTGGCCTTTAGAAACTGCTGTTCCTTGCTATTCGGGGTAAATAAGTACAACGCAGCTAATCTCCTCTTTGATAATCCTGAACTTCTCCTGCTGACTTGACTCCTACCGATGCTGTCTGACACATCGGGGCCATGAACTTGTTGGCAAAGTACTTCGTTGTCCTGGTTGCTGTTCGAGCAATATAGGAGTGCTTGAGACCTCTTGAAGCAAAGGAATGAGAAAGCGTTTTGGTTTCTGTATGAATATGCATCTCGGTTTAGCGAAGTTAAACATATTTAAATGAACTTTCCTTTACTTAACCCTTGATTTGTTATCAAAGTCTGCCGTGTATATTCTCTGAAACACAGCGATCAAGCATAAGGGTAAAAAATAAGTTCATTGGTTGACGGATATGCTTGGAAACTGGAAATAGTTCAAGCCTCTTACAAAAGTCAAAGCTCCAAAGTGGTTGATGCGCAACCTAGAGTGTTTTAAATGCTCGTTAAGTTCGCATTTCACTTTAATCATATTGACAATTGGAACCATCGATGGACTGTAGATCAAAACCCGCATAAAATACCTCTCACGGCTTTGCTTGCGACATGTTGAAGTCTACACTTGACCGGCAGCGATGTCAGGCTGTCGACGCCAGCATAATTTTCCCCATGCTCAAGTGTTAGGTGGATTTCGAACAAGAAGGTGCCCTAAATATTCGAAGTTAATTTACCTATCTGACTTTATAATGACCCATTTCATTTGCCTCTGCCAGTTGCATACAGGTTAATTTTATAGGTGGGTTGGTTTGCTGCTGCCGGGGTCAATTTAAATCCAATCTAATTGTTTCGTTTGGCCCCTACAGATTCAAAAACTCACTTGCTTGACTATGACCTCTTGAATAACTTAAAAAAGTCAGATTCTGCGAATTAATCAGATCTCACTCGGACTTTGCTGATAGTCAGTACTTCTGGAGTTGGTCAGTAAAATTAGTTGCAAACGCGTCTTTTAGGAAAAAAGAGAGCTGGAGGCAACCCGGTTGCTTAAATGGTTGCTGTTTGACAAGACTTCGCTAGTTGATCAATTCGAAAGGCACCAGTCGACGCCGCTACGAATGAGACGAATGAGAATTCTAAACCTGATCGCTCGACAGGACGCAAAATCTGAGTGCCATCCAAGGAATTAGTGGAATTGCCTTATCGCACATTACTTGCTACCTTCGGCAGACTCCTTATGGAGCAGGGTTCTCATATCACACAAACACATCCTCCGTGCTGGAAAAGTTACTGCTAATGCTGCTAATGCGTTCAAATGCCAATCACAAAATAACATTATGCGAACCTCGGTTGCGTGATATATCGGGCTTGCATTCGATTGGTTGTTAGTGAGGGAAAGTTAGTGTTAAAGGGCAGCCAATTTTAGACTATTTTGAGCTTAGCCCTGACCTCCTTAATTACACATAACACAGGAAGCCCATTTCGTTATCTGTCGCTTTTTCCCACATTCCAACCGGAAGACAAAACTCACATATTCTTCATTTGAAATGAGTCATTCCATACCGAGAAACCCCCATCAGAGTAATTCATCTAGTTCACTGGAGACGCACTTAATAAAAGGCAATTTGCTATGGCAAATTTTAATTTCATTAATGTTGCCTTCATTATAATCAACGGTATCTTTCACGGAGCTCTCTGCTAAAATTCAGCTAAAAACTTTGCTAAGAAACATTACAATACTACGGTATACTTAATTTTATTTTGCCAAGATCATCGTCTATAAATGATAAAACAACAATGTCTTGCAAAAGACAACTAAACTGAGTTTAAGCTGTCACTCAGGGAGACAGCGCTAAAATTGGTGAAAGTATTTAGATTTCGGATGCATGCCAATTTTGCTCTTTATTTAATGCAAACACTCGCACTCTGTGTTTAGCTGGAGTCGGATTTACAGGCGAAAGCCCTCTCCTGCGATGTAGTCGGAATTAACGAAGGCAGCCACTTGCCTCGGTCGTGTGCACCACCTTGTCTCATTTCTTGCTAACCGAAGACGCGATTCAGCGAATGCTCATGGGCTACAGATCTGCGTATTAAACTTGGAATGGAGTATAATTTCACTGCATTGATTTCAAGGGCTGATGATTGTTTAAACAGCACGAAGAGCGATGAACGTCGAACAGTATTAAGTTTTACCCGTATGTTGCTGCAAATTCCCGGACTAACAGTTGGAATCCCATGATTGGCACGTCGAAGGCTTCCTAGAATAGGAGAAGACTGGAGTTTGTACGAAGGGCTTTACTGCCTGGACCAAACGTTCAAGCGCAAGCTGGAGCCGAAACGGAAGTCGAGTGGATGCTCAGATGTGCCCACTTCCAGTGTTAAATGATTTTGGGAGCAAAAGCTATGCATGTTGCAATTAAAGGTGCAAATTGTTAGACAAAATAAACATCAAAGCATCACCAAAATAATTAAAATGAGTCATTACCACAGTGGAGAGACCAGATCTTTAACAGGACAAACATTATAATCCAGAGCACATAAACGGTATTTCAATAAAGTGGGGGCCAGGGGCCTGACGTAAGTCTTGTTTGTTTTCCACTAAGTACAAACATGTTCACATGGTATTCTAACTATTTAAGCAATAACCCCTTGTGACAAATCACGCAAATGGACATTTTCCACTCAAGCAGTCAACTCAACGTAACTGGTAATATGCACTTATGAGCTTGATTTATTTCGAGTTCTGCCTTTTCTTTGTGCCGGAGAAATCATCCGCACGTATCTTTGGGCAGGAGATTTCAGATGTTCCACCTCACAAACCGCCTCTAAGTGCCTGCACAGCTACCCTCTTTGTCTCACTTTGTCACCAATTTTCTGTCAGTTAAACTACCCGCTTCATTGCTTAAAAACGATGTGCCCATTTCCTGTTTTTGAATAGACAGAATTCCATTGGTACATAACCCTAAAACAACGGGTGAAAATTAAAAACCCAGTTAATGTTTATATGGTTCCATCAAGGCACTCTGGAGCGTGCGTACCAGAATAATCTTGTTGTGGGCCCCAGCATGTGGTCTTGAACTACGCCGGAGCCACGAAATTAACCCTGGACCGATTACGTTTCCTTGATACCCTCGATAAAGAAGAAGACCAGAGAGGACGTGGACACAACCGTTCACTTCAAAGCTCAACAAAATTGGTGCGGTTGTGTCGTGTGTGGGGTTTCCGCGTGTGTATTTACATCTCAGATGTGTGAGTCATACATGCGTTAACATCGGTACTTAGGTGTGAGGATAATCGAAATATTAGCGGGAATGGGGGAGGAGTTGAAAATCCGCACGGCTGGCGACATGCTGCGAAAAAGGGGAACCCTGTATCGGAGGTGGAGCGACCGGATTATAGGGCGTGAATAAACACGAGTCACAACAATCTTGATTCCCGTTAAGGTTATATAGACTATCAAAGATTGATCAGTAAAAGCAGCCTGTAAGGACCTCCTGAGAATCACAGCAACGTAGCTGTGTAACAAAAATTTAAGAGGGAAAATTTATCCAATCGAGCTTTCAAACTAACTTCGAAAATCCTACAACACACACACATACCCAGAGAAGGGTGCCAATTCTGTTAATTTTTAGGCACAAAAAACGAGGCAAAACAGTCTGGAGTGTAAAATTATTTCGAGACCGTTAAAATCACTGTAATGCAGACAGGTACAACTACGTGTATGGCTGGCCGTTGGTAATTACAATACCGTTATCACGGTCAAAGCGGACGATAAACAAAAAGGGACTGTTCAGTAGGGCATTTTTTTACCAACCATCTCGCATTATGTGTGAACGCTTCAAACGTTAACATCCAATAAAATCGACTTTGTGCAATTTTTAATTGGAGTAGGTCATTTTCTCTGGGGGTGATAGATAAGCCCCTCTACAAAATGAGGTGCTTAGTTAATTACTCAATGATAAACTAGCGAGATCAATTGTGATTTCTTGGCAGTCGTGTTGCTACCAGGACTTTTGTGTTGTGCGCCCTAAGCTAGGGGATACGCGAGCGACAAGGCCACATGACCGTGAGAGCGCACCTTCGAAACAGTACGAACTCCCTCACCCCCTCCCCCCATCCGACTCTCCTGCGCTCTTGAGCGCGGGCGCGACACGCACCTACTCGAACAGGCGCGCGCGTGGCAGCTGCCTCCGGAGCGGCACGAGTGGTGGATCTGACACAACCGCTGAAACCGCTTTTACTGTCCCCCTTCAAAGCGCTGGGACTCGTGTTAAGTGTATGTGCAGGTAATTGGTCTGGGAGCTGCGCGAGGTGTTCAAATCGGTTGACTTCAGGGGTCCCGAAGATTATGCATCTTGTTGAAATCAAGAGCAAAACACCTTGGTTAACTTAGGTTTGAATTTAGTAAGCAGTCGACAAATTTCCAAGAAGAATTACATGGAGTGGTTATTTCAAAATGTTTACGGTGTGGGCCACTAGTGACACGGCACACAGACCGCCAGTCGATGTCCTGCCATGCTTGTTGCAGTCAGTGATTATCCCTCGAAGTGCTTCCACCCTGTAGGATCTGGCTCGTGCTTGTGAAGCCTTAAAAAAGTGCACATTTTGCATTCACACTTGACTGAGTTTGTGGACACTTCAGTGCAAAACACCACATCTAACCCTGGATAAGGGAGCATGATATCTTGATAACCTACTATAAATTGAGACAATGGAAAAGAAATTTGTTGGCGTTATCGGATGATTAGATGATGCCAAATTTTTGGGGACACTCTTTTTTCTACCGTCTAAGAAGAATTTTTCAACCTCCCTCGTTTGGCTTTTTCGGACCAGTCGATGCTAGTCGAATCGGCTTCTACCTCAGGTAAACTCACCGACTTGATCAGAAAACTTTTCTAAAAGCATATGCTGTTATAAATGGTTGACTTGAAAAAAAACATTTGTTTAGTTCTTTCGAAAACGAATAACACAAGGGATGCAAGCGTGTGTTTTACAAGTCCATGAATTGACTTCTTTCCCCCGTTTTGTCCTACTTTACACTTGTCAGGAAATTCTGTATTTAAATTCGAATTAAGTTACCATTTTTAAAGGGTTAAACCGAACATGAGTAACTCGAAAAGCCCACGTTTATGAGGCCAAAAGCACCATCATTGAGTCATGCCCGCACAGACACAGTTTTTAAATACAATTTTGACGTGAATGCAACATGAATTTAATCATCACGACATGTGGCAAAGACGTTAGTTGAATGCTAGCAGAAAAACCCAATTAATAGGGCTAACTGATCTGATTCCCAATATCCTAAATCTGAGTTTTAATTTCTTTTGGACGCGTCCCGCAATTTTTTCGCCTTAAAACCGCCTGATAACAATTTTCCGCTTGAGACGTAACGAGGCGAGGCGAGCAGATGTTAGTAAATATGTTGACATTTCGGGATCGCCTAAAGGTGTCCTGTGCATGGCAAAGACACGTCCCACCACCGACCCACCAGCTGCCGTCTGTGAAGTATTCAAGGACGGGCAGTTCAGGGACCCGGCATGCGATGTCAAAAAGCACACCCAGGCAGTCATTCACTTTCCCCTGGCTCAACTTAATTCCACGTTCATAATAATTACTGGACTTTTATGGGACGTGGGTGTGCCAAGCACCCTTCAATACGCCCTCGGTATCGACCACGTGGAAACGTACAAATGCAAACGTTTGTAATTGAAGCGGAGGCGGCAGGTGTTGGGCAGTTGCTCTGGAAGAACTCAAAGCTGGCCACTAACACTTTTTAACGCAACTAGCGTATCCCCCTGACGAATAGCATTTTCATCTAGTTCAGGTAGCTGTACACATTGTGCCCGAATTTGTGTTAAAATACCCAAGTTAGAAGACCAGCAAAAGCACTATATTTTAGAGTGAAAAATAAAGTAATAAATCGAGAAAAGTGGGCATCTCACCGCTTTCTTCTTGTATTGCAGTTTACATTTCATCCCGAACAGTCGTCTTAATTAATACTGAAAATGCTTTCACACTCCCTGCCAGAAACAGTTAACTTGAAGGACAGTTATGAGCGACATAATGGTCAGATGTTTTAGCATTTGCAGTCAAGGCCAGTTAATGATGAGGGTTTTTCCAGACAAGCGAGTGTAATTTGTAAGCAAATAAACACGGACATGCAGTTGAATTAACTGCATATTCGCTTGCAAATTCTTGTGAATTCAGAATGAAATATTTACCAGAAGAGAAGCACTTTTTGTAGACAATTTTTCTTCCATCGCGGACTTGGTTTTGACCATATACAAAGAAAAGTTCATTGTGCATTCTGGCACCCAGCATGCTTTTTAAGTCCGCCAGTTAAGTCAGAAGTCCACCGTAGTGCTATCACGCGTAATACTGAATCACGAATACCAATGAACAGGGAACTTGTCACCAATAGGTAAGTCTACAATTTAATGTTAATCGAGGGTCAATTTACTTTAATAGCATTGAGTCGTTTTTCATGGGTCAAGTTGATTTCAAATTCAAGCCTGGAACTTAGCAAAATCAGAGCAGAGCGCCGGTAAAAGATTTCCGGGTCAATCAACGCAATTTGACGGTCCCTCTGGTACTGGTGTCAGAGTATTCTGAGGATTCAAGTCAACTGTGCGATTGCCAACTGACCAATACTCTGCTTTCTGAGAGGTCAATCCATCGTCATCGTTTGTTCTTCGAATCCCGACCTAAGTACTGGAAATGAGTCCCAAGGTTCTAGGCGAATTCGTCAAATAAAGGAGGAATTCTGCGAATCTGAAGCATGGCGGAGAGTGTAAACCTCGGTATAGGGGGTGTGCGTGTTGCTGCATGTACTGACTACAATGAGAGAGTTTCCAGGATGAGCCTTCTGTTTATCACATAAACCTTTTCTTTTACACACTCTCAGTCCCTCTTAGTCTAATATCATATCTTTAGATAAAAGCAGACCCGTTTATAAGGTTTACTTTTACACAAATAAATAAGGGATTTATTTCCAGTCTTCATTAACAGCCAAGAAGGGTTATTGCGGCTAGCCCCAATTCAGCAGGCGTCTCAAAGTACTTTAAGACGCTCAGTTCAATGCAAGGTTCTGGCACCGACATATCACCTCGAGTGCTAGAGCCACCTAAAAATCGGGACAGACGTTTTAGTTCACACTCCTCAGTCAGTGACTAGTAATGCAAGTCAATAAAGCCCTTCCACATTGATCAATGGGACAGCTGGTCGTATGTTTGTACCTCACAGCATTCCCACTACACGCTAATTGGGGCAATACCCAAAGAGCTTAGTTGTGGGGTTAGTGGCTTCGGGAACAAAGAATCAAAAAATGGCACTGCCTGTGAATGTTATTAAACGCTAATTTTAAGTCTTTGATGGGGTTAAGACGGAATGAATTCATTACATCATAATACCTTGTTATGAATAGTGTTTATACACACTCCTTAATCCCTTTGCTCCATTCTCCGACTTATGGTTCTTCTTCTTGTAGCATGTCACTAGCCTCGCGGATCCTCAACTCTCCCCTCACTCGCACGAATATTTATCTTAGGTTATCGTCACACCTAGGTCTCGATGCTGACGCTGCTATAATTCACGCATCTGATGCGCAAATACACACACAACTGTTGTATCCACGTCCTCTCCGGTATTTCTCTTCGTCGTGGGTATCAGGGAAGCGCAATCAGGCCAGGGGTTCTTCACTTGCCCCGGCGTGGTTTAAGACCACATGCTGGGGCCCACAACAAAGGATTGTCATGCCAGGTACCTCAGAAAAAATAAATCCGAGCTTTTGAGAAGTCTTCCAAAAGTTGAGCTCGGAAAAATTCTGCATACTAAATATCGGTTCGAAGAATCGGCAACGACCTTGACACGCATAAAGCTTTATGAGCTGGCTCTGTACTTCCACTAAGTCTCCTGTTTCTATTTTTTTCTCAATGCCAATAGAGGTGGTGGACACACTCATTAAGGTCCTGTATCGGAACTAAGTGGGCCAGGTTAACAGTGCCTCATCATAATTGTCTTCCGCAAAACTTGAGCAACAAGCAAGTTCACCTTTCAAACCAGACTTCATCCTCGAAAATAAATCAAATCTCTGACACAAGAGCTTTTGAGGAACAGACTGAAGCGGGGACACACCGTATGGTTGTGCATTCTTGTAGAACCTGCATCAGATACTGAGTCATGAGTAGGTCCTGCACGAATTCGCTGTTATCGCACCGTCTTCTTTACTCTTTCTTAAACGACTGGTCACATCCGTGCCTTTGGTTCTCACGCTTGAATTAACTATTTATAACACATATCCAGACAATTGGTTGGCTGGTATGACATTTATCGTCAGCGGCATAGTAAGTTGGGTCCTTGAATTATTAAAACACATTGAAGATGCCTCAATAAGAGTTCATTAAGCAGGCCGTCGAGAGTTATGGGAAGGGGAATTTCACTTAAGGAAACACCCAAAAGTGTGAAACTAACCACAAGTGTGTAAATGTTAAGGGGCCAGACTACATGGAAATTTTCTCAAGTAATACAGTTGCAACGTGTGGTTTATTTGCATCAAAAAAACTAAAGTTTATTAGTAAATAAGGTGAAGCATGTGCTTTGATTTGTCATAAAGTTATACAGATTAAATAAGGATACATCCATGGAAGAATTGGGCGCCGAAACGAGATGCAACAGGAGGTGAGTCAGTGAAAGTCAATTCATAAAACTGCCGTAACAGACAATGGTGATTCATAAACCCAGTTGAACAGCATAAAAGGGGTACAGAAAAAAGCAGGAGGGGAACAACAGTCGTCATGGTAACAGCAGGAACACGTGGCTAATGGAGTACACACAAACTAGACTTGTGTGCGTGTATGATTCGCGCGGCCGTTCAAACGCTGGTGAAACGAGAGGCTGCCGTGTTGGGTGCCAGTGTGGACAAGGTGCAGCCCAGACGCCTCCAGCAGGCGTCACTAAAACTTCATAAACACAGGTGTCTGCGTCCACGACCAGACATCAGGAGGGCGAGGCGCAATTCAGGAATTGTTGTACTGACCACCCCGATAACGCGATTCGTCTATCGTGAGAGCTATCAACCATTTGGCTATGTTCAGAAGCCTTAAACATTAATTAGTACATCTTCAGTTGCACATGAATCCGATCCATCTACATGCCTCTTAGCCGTCTAACTAGAAACCTCCACGGCCACTGGCAGCTGAGAAGGGTTAAGTGAAACAATCTATCAGGATTTGAGGAAAAATGGCTGCGCATTCAACAAGAAACCTTAAGCTCTGTAATTGATCCTGACGAATAATTAAACTAAATAACAGGAAGCATTAAATATTGCCGTCCATAACGGTGTTAATAGCTGTAATTCACTAAGCCTTATTTACCTGCATGGGACTGCTGTATCTGCCTTTTGTTCGGCACAGATCCACACACCAACGGTCGTGTTCATGCACAAAGGGAGTGAGCATTTCGGAGCGAAGTAGCAGGTGATTATGGAAAGGGGTGGGATCACGTGATCTTGGAGTTGATTCGCCTCTGGCGTAGCACCATCACTTTTGATGGCGCCGGCGAGGCTGCCTCGCGAGACAGTCTCGATGGCACGAAGATAGGAAAAAAGCATCGGCTGGGTTTATTTGATTAAAAAGGAGATCAACCCGCTGGAAGAGCTGTTCGTTTGGACGCCCACCTGAAACCAAAAAACCTGTTTGTTGCAAAATTATTTTAAGAATTTTTGACAGGAAATTCAGCTTGCAGATTTAAATAATTAAAGGAACCATCAACTAGACTTCAGTGGGGCTCCTGGGTTCCAAGGAATAGCAGTTTGATCCGAGGAATTCAGACATCTCCTGAAGACATTCGTAGATTGGTAGATGGAACCAGAGGCGCGAGCAAAATGTTCCGTGGACATAACCACCATAATTAGTAAAGTGCACGCTAGCTTTCCAGCTCTGCTTGCGACACCACACTGTTCCTGATTGAGATGAATTAAACAGTCAAGTCAACGCCTAGTGCGAGATTTAGAATTGAAATCGGGGACGCTAGGTGCGATACACCGGACTGCTTTTTGTGCCTTTTCAGTCATACAATCAACCATGCACATTTTTTCGGAAATCAATAAATTTATCTGCCTTACATTAATGCTAAATTCAAATCAAACCAACCAAATTTAAGCTTTACTCACACGACACTTTTCCCATGGGCTAATAGTAATAAAACGCTGAAGTGTGCACCATTGTGCACACTCGCAGAGACGCGACTGCATAGGTTCACTTCCGACTGCAACCCTCACGCTGACCCAATCCATCACTCTGAGGCATCGTCAGCAATTCAGGTAGCGGCACGAAACCAACACCGTGGTAACCGCCGCAGCAGATACGAGAGAAGATTAATTTGGCCAAACTGTGTTGGTCTCAGCCTGTCACAACACGCCCCGTTTGAAAAAGCACGAACGACGGACAAGTAGTAATAGTGTTCTCGGTGCGCGAGAGCACATGCATTAGCCTACATCTACCTCCATACAGGTACCCTTCTAGCCGCTCGAATCGACTTGACAAAACTCTACCGGCACTACAGCCACAAGGTGGATTCATCGGCTTATTTCTGTGGCAATGCCAGAATCGATAAAAACAGTTTTTTATGAGGCCCCAAAACTTAACTGAGCCTAGGCAAGGAACACTCTAAGATGATCAGAGTGGATTCAGCAACAAGGCAAGAGAATCGATTTTCGGATGGCGTAGCAAGGGCACAATGAGGGAAGGCAATGCGGTGCGTGGGACTGCATTCAAAGCAGACGGCGATAAAGCAGTCGAGTTGAAGGCAATCTAAACTGGTAGTAAATAGCAGAGGCGAGATCGGGACCACTGACCAGATTTCTTTAAAAGGGAATCCGGGAGAGTTGAGGCAGAAAAACGTCGCTTGGTTCAGTGGTCTATCAGGTGTGCAAGGCCAAATCAAATGTTCTTTCAGCTGCTTCTCTCTCGTATTTAGCCTATTCGAGTAGATGTGGGCTGTGCTGAATGGTCTCTAGAATAATCGACCGATGGCGCAGACCGAACAGATTCCACAGACTATCACGGCTGGCCACATAGGAACTCACTCTCTCGGGTATTTCAAATAATTTCTGTAGTAGTTTGATGACTTAAAACCAATTAACCCAGCTGAACTTTAGGGTTTCATGACCACATCAAAAACTTTTCATCCCGAATAATAAGGGTTCTTCAGGACATTTGTGGGTTGCTCTATTTTCCGAACTCATTACTTTAAATTGAAATCCGGAATTAACTCAGACTTTAGTAATTGCCGACTATAGCTTACCCTGTTTCGTAAATAAAAGCATGATGAGTTTAAAAGCGAGATGGTAATTGGTTTAATTGGTGGTGGTTCTGAACTAAGAACTGTAATGCTCCACGTCTAAGTTCTTTCTCCACAAAGAACATCGCCATTTAGGGAGTCCAGGCTGCCATGGTTGCTTTAGTGAGTCTGCCATTTACTTGCCATTTCACTGCAAGTCTTGCCTACATGCTTATCAGTCGTTCGTCTTGCGGTCGAGCCAAAAATGCCCTCTTTGATCCAAACCGTCGACTACATGCGAACCCTCATGTTTCAGTGTACTTCACCGGTGCTGTCGCTGTGCCTGCATCCCAAAGCCACTGCTAGGTGTCTAAAGTGATACGAGGTTCGCCACACACCCCACTGCCGCTTATAATGAATGCCATAATAATTTTTCACTGTCTCTTACGAATGTACATTTTTTTATGTAACCCAAAGGTAGATTTATCCTTTTTGGTAGAGAAACCGCCTTAACAGTGCGACTATCTCCTGACACTTCCGGTGAAACTTCACCGGCGCGTTTTGTAATTTTTTCGTTCATAATGACACACTGCAAAATCCCAGCAACGGGCAATGCGATGAATTGTTTTCACTTGAAAATGATCAAATACAACTCCAACCTGTGTTTTGTTGGGCATGTAACCTTGGCAACGGCAACAACAACTTTAATCAATTTAATCTCTTCGTGAATCAAACATGGGATTTAGTCGCTTAAATTGTTAGCTGGAGAACATAAATGTTTGGTACCTTCTTACAGTGTGTGGAAGATTTGATAAGTTGTTGTAAATTTGGACTAGATGCCAAAATATAGGCCCACAGTAGCCCAACAACACGTGCCCGCTTTTTGGCTGCACATAGACTGTTAATAAGGCAATCTAATTCCTTCAGTGACGTCACCTGACGGATTCGGAGCCGAGACCATCCCCAAAACTTATGAAAGTGTAGCGTTTTAAAGCGTTTGGATATTTTAGTCTGATGCTCTAACATTGCAATTTGCATGCAAACAGGGGTGCTTTGGTGGCTTGTCACCCGCCTATAATTTTTTAAGCAGATTTTGGTGGACTCTCGCCAAAGACTGTATTGCTTTGAGACCACTGGTTTCGATACCGCAAAAAGTGTTCCAGAGTGAAAGTTTGAAGTCAATGCCACTGGAAGACCCTTTTCTTTTTCAACCCACCTCTCAGTTTAGCGTGAAACTCCACTTGCACTGTATATAACTAAGGTAATCAAAGACGACGAAGGCACAGAGAAGATATCAAGTTACTTCATTAGTAAGTGGAAGATAGGAGGGTGGCAGATGAAAACAGGCGATGGTTAATGGGGGAGGAGCAGGTGGGCGGGCGGGTTGCCCATTGAATTTTTACACAATTTCAACTGATTAGTATTTGCGGTGGACTTGTTTGTGTGTGTTCGCCCGTCTTCATCATTCAGGGCGTCTTCACAGCCAGTAATCAATGTCTGTAGGCCCCAGTAGCATACAAACAGGATGTGTGTGTGTATGTGTGTGTATCATAACCAACAGATTAAAAACATCATTGTCCACAGTCCCAGTTAGCAATCATGGTGCACAGCCGAATAATGCATTGTGTATGATATGTTTGTGTAAGTCTAGGTTTGCGTGTCTAAAGGCAATGAAAGTCAGGGCTGCTGATTGGGGAGATGTCTTCATTCGCATAAAATGAAAATAACTGCGACGAGGAGGCCGTCATCAGGAGGTGGGGTGAGGGACGAGCACTTCTAACCGGGGTTGCGGTGTTTCTTCATGTGCAGTGTGAGGTGATCGCTCCGGGCAAAGGCTCGTTGGCAAATAGTGCACTTGAAGGGCTTATCTCCCGTGTGTTTTCGGTAGTGTCGGGTCAGCTCGTCGGATCGCGCGAACCGCCAGTTGCATCCCACCCAATCACAGGGGAATGGCTTCTCGCCCGTGTGCACCCGCATGTGGGCTTTCAGGTGGGATGACTTCGAGTAAGCTTTCGCACAGGTACCGAAAGGACACATGTGTATCAGGGCTACGTTCTTTTTAGTAGCAGAGGCAGTCAGTTTACCTCCCCCTGACCCTCCTCCAGTCGCCATTCTCGTCCTGCGTCGAGAGGTAACTGTCTTCAAACCAACCGTTGGAGGGGTAGCGGGCGGCGTTAGGGCATTCACGACACTCCTTTGTGTGTAGAATTCCGCATCCTTTGGGTAGATGAAGGATGTCTGATACGTCGCCACAGAAGATGGATGTTGTGGATGCGTCAGGTGGGGAAGCTGATGGCAAAATTGGTACCCGACCGTAGGATACCTAAGTTCCTCTTTCCTCGCCACTTTAAAGGCTGAAGTAGGAGTTGTCTGGGGGACACATGCAGCGCTGTAGAAACCCTGATGCTCCCAACGGGTAGTGGGGGGTACACCGAGAGTGGTGTATTGGGGAACGGAGACTTGGTCTAGAGTAGGCGCGTAAGAAAATCCCGACGCTGGAATGACACCAGTGAATACGGTTGTCGGAGGGGTTGTGGATACTGCCTTTGGGTACATCGTGTCTGGGGTGGCAGTCGAGGTGACGGCAGGGGCAGACACCGTGTATTGTGGGGACTGAGCTAGCGGCAAAAGATGGCCTCCAGTGGAGCTTGTTGAAATTGTCGCACTCGAGGAAATCTCATCTCTTTGTTCCACTGAACTACTGAGGATGAAGTCGATGTCAAGGCCCTCCAAATCGACAATCTGGTGCTGTTGGTGCTGAGGTGGACCGCCTTGGTGACTGTCGAATCGTGTGAGAGTGCTATTCGCGGTGGAATCACACGGCACCGTGGGAGTCAAAGGAATTGCACTGGGATAATATCCTTCAAATGTCGAAGCACCCGATGATAGTCGAGACTAAAGCAAAACACTTGAAAATTTAGACAATTCAAAATCACGTAAAATGACACCTAAATGGCCCTGGGCCCATTTTGGTAATCGGATGCTTGACATGCACATGGCAGTTTTTTCATCCAATGTTACTTTCTAATTTGTTCACTGAGGATTGTTTGTGCAAAACGTACTGACCATCCGACTCCATCGTCCAACAGTTGCCTCACCGAGTCGTTTCGCTAAGAGGGAAGTTAGGCTATTGGGAATAAAAGGTGCAAGGACAGCATGCACCGCTTATAAACCAGACAAATGATTGTAATGGTCGTGGATATCCAACAAAAAAGTGACTTGGATCTTATAAACTCTAGGCTACGCAGCTTTCCTCCGAGTAGAAAATGGAATTTTCTCCAAAGATAGAACTTGTTTAGATCAGAAATTCCAACAGAAATTTCTTTTGGCGGGTCACGGGTTTCAAATGGATCCTTTAAGTGGACCACGACGCTGTTCATTGCACATCATACTCAGTATTTTCTACGCCTCACCTGAGAGAACTCTCCAAACTTCCGCGTGTGATATTAACTCCCCAGGGAAGCACCAGAATAAACAGTTATTGGAGAGCCTCAGGCGCTTCATCACCCGGTACCTAACTAAAAGCGTTTCAAACCTCACGCAAACTGCCAATTGCCTTCGAGCATGAGCTTTTCTGACCACAACGAATGGAAGTGCTTTAATCCAATGTTAATGCATTGGTTGCTCTTCGCGTCCATTAGTGAGCAATATAATCGGACGCATTGAGTGCTTAGCCAAGGAAGCATCTTATAACTGGCAGCATTTATTACCTGCGTAGAATTCCTGTCACGCGGGAATTCTAGCAATTAAAGTGAAGTCACATTCGGACGCCCTCCACGACCCATAAAAAAGGGGAAACAGCAGAGAGGCTACATCCACACCGCGCAACTCCTAAAATCCTCGAATTTTCGGTTAACTCATCACACACTTTAATAACGAGTTACACAAAGCACCACGCGATTGCCTAAATTTACATCGGGTGACTTTACATGGCGATTTCAAAGGAAAATTGACTTTTGGAGAGAAATTTTCTGGTGTTCCGCAGTCTCCAGTGCTGACGTCTCGAACGACATTCATTTTTAATATCTGAGGTGCAGATCAGTTGGTACAATCGTCAGACACCACTAACAGGCAGTTTAGACCTCAACAATCAGAATTTCAATGCGTCTAAAGCGTTATCAGCCACTTCCTCATGGTGTGACAACTTTGATGTGTCGGCGTACCTAGAAAAACCCCCTACTGCCCACGCTGCGGTTCGTCAATTTGGCATCAACAGCAAAAAGTGTGGCCCTAGAAAGGCCCTGTCTCTCGATTAGAATCTCGATGTTTTTAGGTCCTCAAGTTTAGTTATCAGTAGGAACATGAAAGTGGAAAAAACCATCGTATTTGGCGCAAGTCCAAGCCCCTGTGCATTTTGTTTTTAAAAAAATGGTGGATTCAGCCCATTGGTATATTATAATCCAACACTGGCGCTAAGCTAAACGTGAAAACAAAGTACCCTACATTTCCTGCCATGATTTTGTAACAATTCTGTTTCCATGGCCATGTCAAAATTCGATAGTAGACTCCAGCAATCTGTACTCAAATATCAGATGTAAAACGATTGCATGGTGAAGAGAGTAGTGTTTGGTAAAAGTGTCTGCCAGTCTCAACTTAACAGTGGTACACAAACAGATCCCCTGTCTGCGAACGGCCTGTACACCCGCAACCACACAACGCAGTGAAAACTTCATAACACGAAAGCAATGATCACACACACAAACACACACGCAATTAAGTGATGGCGTAGTAACTTCGATAGAATCATATGTAGTAAAGAGTACTACGATTCTCCGACAAATAAAAACCACTGAAAATTGGTCTAACTAGGGCATCTAGGTAGGCCTTTTCAGTCTCTAACAATCAAAATTGACAAACTGGTTCGTACAAGTTAAACTGTGTAAGATAAACCAAAATAACACAAAACAATTCTCTACTTTGTTTGATTTATTTGTACAATACGCCTTTGTATTAATCCGGTCTTGAATTTTTCACAAACATTAACGAATTTCAGCTATTTTCTTATTCTGAAAAGAAGATATCCGAAAGTTTCATTGATTTGTCTTAAAGGCGGTAAAAGCAGGCATTTTGCTTGAATTTTAATTTCCTCTAATCCTAACCGCCACGACTCCGGGCTTCCATTTTTGATTGTTCGAAAATGACTACCGAATTTATTCCCACCAGGGTCATGTCTTAATCTGCTATGGTCAGGAACAGAGGTGCGTTTGCCAGCATAGCCGTTGATCTAAATCACAAGGAAGAAATCCAGACAATAGCATGACCGCACAACGAAATATTGGATGGCTTGAGCTTCAACCAGGCCAACTGATTTAGGTGAAACGAATACCATTTTAACTGATCCACCAGAATTACGATAAATTCCACTTTCCGAATATTCTGAATGTGTGTGTTGACCTCTGTTTGCATAGAAGCCGATGAAGAATAAATTATAGTAAAGTCGAAATCTAAACACGCATCGTCATGAAGCTGGATGCAAAGCGCCGTGTGAAAGCGAAGATCAACCCGTCTGCTCTATTTGACAAACGGAGCCAAGTTCAAAGTTCGCACGCACCCACCCTCACTAGGTGCAGTCTGTAAAGAGCACTGTGAGCAGGCTGGCATGACGAGCAGCATTCGCTTTCTCAACTGCTGCCCCGCGCGCCTGTTGGGACGCGCTCGTCCGCGAGTACCAGCCGCCGGCGGCGTCTGGTGGGTCACTTGTGCTTCGGGGTCGACTTGTGCGCAGACAGTCAGTCGCCAGGCCGTTCGGTGGCTGTCGCCTCCACCGTGACGGCTTCTTAAACCGCCTCACCTTTAGTTATTTCACACAGTCGTTTACAGATTCCCATCGCACCACACACAGTAGCCACAGGTTCCCTTTACGAGGTGATCCAAAGGTCTCTCATGGATGTCCCAAGGTTTGGGTCGCACCACATCACCTCGGTGCTAATTGGAGGAGGAGTCAATTTCGGCCAACTGGATCGCCATCGGAAACTTAGTAGTCGGTTCAGTGACAATGGGGTATGCCAATAAAATTAGCATGTTTAACACACGTGAGGAATTTCGGAATTTCTGAAATATAGCTTCGGCCTGAGGCCTGCCAGCAGAAGTGGATGGCATGAGAAGAGGGGCATAATCGGAACGGAGAAGCCATGAACAAATAAAGTGCTTGTCAAGATACACTAGCTCACCAAACCCTTCATCCACTTAGCTCTACGGGGTTATTTTGATTAACTGAAGTTTGGGTCTTATTAGTGAATATCATTCGAGGCCTGTACTTTTAACGAGTCATTTAATACATTGAAGATATTGCTAAGATGTGCTTTTTTAGCACAGAGCTTGAGACCATCGTATCTTTTCGTTACCCACCCGCAGTTGGGTCATGGTAAGACAGAGTGGTGAATTTGTAGGTGCGGCAAAACAGCAACTGCATTGGAGGTTTAATGCCCAGTGAATTAGTAGGCCCCTGTTTGGTTCAAGAGGTTGTTCATTAAAAGTGCATTTTGGCTCCTCTAAAGTCCACTCCAATTGTGGACC